ATATATATATATATATATATATAAATAAATAAATAAATAAATAAATAATATAATTACCTATAATAGTATATAATAAAGAAGTTGCTGTTGCTTTATTATTAATAATTTGTTTATCCCCTAATACACAACAAAGCCCCAAAAAAGAGGCAATGCATGCATGCAAGAATCCTACAGATCTATTACGTGATACCCTTAGGTATTTCTTTGCTGCATTTAATAAAGGACAATTTGCTGCTGCTGCTGCTGCTGCTGCTGCTGTTGCTGCTGGTGCAGCTGGTGCTGCTGCTGCTGCTGTTGCTGCTGCTGATTTGCCTCCTGGGTTACATATTGGGCAGGAAGGAAGGATCTCCTTCCCTTGTGTCATGTCTGCTGCTGTTGCTGCTGCAACATCAGCAGCAGCAGCAGCAACTGCTGCTGCTGCTTCTGGTGTATTAGGTGTTTTGCTTCCTTTTGCATGCGCAGCAACAAGTGTCCTGCATGCATGATGCTGTCTCCTTAGTGTCTCCTTTCTTTCCTTATATAAAAGAAATATAACTGTCTCCTCTAGGTAAGGGAGACAGGAGACAAATGACCAAACAGCAGCAGCAAAAGAAAAAAAAAGAATAGTAAAACAATAAGGATAAATTGCTGTCTCTTCTCCCCATGCAGCAGGAGGAGACACACAACATGACCAGAATTGCTGCAGCAAGGAAGGATCACTACCTGTTCCTGCTGCTGTTGCTGCTGATGTTGCTCCTGCTGCTCTTTTACTAGACCCTGCTGTGTCACCTGCTGCCGTTGCACCTGCTGCTGCTGCTGCTACTACTGCTGCTGCTACTGCTGCAGCAGCACCTGCTGCACGTAGCTCGCCGTTTGTATATCCCGCCATCCCCTATTGCATGGCTGTATAGGTAGAATAAGACACAAAAAAGCAGCAGCAGCAGCAGCAGACTGCTACAGCTGCTGCTGCTGTGCAGCAAGAAAGAAGGGAGGGAAGGTAGGGGGGCTGTTGTTATGTATACACTATACACCTTGGGGTGTACGTGCACTGCAAAAGGAAGAAAAAGGAAGGAAAATGCTCCTATTTATATAATTAAAACAACTAATTAAATATAAATAAAATAAATTACTACACTTAATGAATAAAGAAGAAAAATGGTAAGAAAAAAAGCAGCAAAAAGAAGGGAGAAGCAGCAAGATATGCAAGAAATGGTGTTGTGCTGCAGTTGGGGTGTATATGCAGCTAATTATATAAATATAAAATAAAATAAATAAAGAAAAAATAAAATAAAATTAATTATATAGAAGAAGAAATAAAAAGGAACAATAAAAAGGGCTGCACCGGTAGTAGTAGTAGTTGCACATGCTCTGCTGCTGCTGCCGCCGCTGCTGCTGCGGCTGCTGTTGCTGCTGCTGCGGCTGCTGCTGCTGCTGCTGTTGATGCGCAGCAGCAGCAGCAGCAAGGGTCCTTGTTGGGTGTTAAATTGGCGGGTCGTTTGTGGATTGTTTGTCTTTTTCTGATATGTTTTCCTTCCATTTGTTGCAGTAGGAGCAGGGGCAGCAGCAGCTGCAGCAACAGCAGCAGCAGCCGGAGCAGCAGCAGCAGGAGCAGCAGCAGCAGCGTCGTGCATACGTTGGTTCGTTCTTTGCTGCTCCTGCGGCTACGACCACAGCCCATCGTATTTGTGCTTTTTGCACTATTATTTTCTATAGCAGCAGCAGCAACAGCTGCAGCAACAGCAGCAACAGCAGCAGCAATCATCATCATCAGCAGCAGCCGCCGCAGCAGCAGCACGGCGGCACGGCAGCACCGTTGCTGTATTGTAATTGTTTAAATTTATCATCTTTTTATAATTATTTATTTATTTATTTTATTTGCTGCTCTTCTTCTTTACTATAAGCAATGGCGGGGCCCCCAGGAGTACCGTTTGTAGGTGCCTCGGGTACCCAACATGCGAGCAGTTCGATGGTGGGCCCTCCTGGGGGCCCCCCTCTCCCTAGGGGCCCCCAAGGTCCCCCAATGGGTGGTGTACCATTTGGTCCACGTATGGGTGGAGGCCCCCCTCCAGCAGGTGGTGGTGTAGGTATGGGGGGCCCCCCTCCATTTGGTGGGGGCCCCCCTCCTTCTATGGGTGCTGGAGGTGGTCGTCCCCCAATGGGTGGGGCGCCAGGTATGGGTGGTGGTGGGCCGCCTCCATCAATGGTAGGGGGCCCCCCAATGGGTGGTCCAGGTATGGGAGGTGGTGGGGGCCCCCCTCCCCCAATGATGGGTGGTGGTGGTCCAGGTATGGGTCCTCCACCACCAGTATCAGGAGGAGGAGGAGGAGGAGGAGCTCCTCCTCCAATAGCAGCAGCAGCAGCAGCAGCAGCAGGAGGGGCCCCTCCAACACCTACAGCATGGGGCCCCGTGGCACCAGAAATGGCTGCAGTGGGTATGACGGCATTAAATCTTAAGAGGCTCCGCTATTTACAGCCTAAGCCTGTAGATAATAATATTCCTCCTAATTGTACTATTTATATATCTAATATAAATGATAGAGTTAAGCTACAAGGTAAATTAATTTATTTATTTAATTAATTTATTTAATTAATTAATTAATTAATTATATGTACAAGACACGCATATATTTCTATTTATAAGACACTAATTATATTTATTTTATTATTTATATTTATATCTATTATTCATGATATTAATTAATTAATTAATTATTAATTAATTATTAGGTAAATAAATAAATATATTTTATTTTATTTATTTATTTATTTATTTATTTATTTATTTATTTATTTATTTATTTATTTATTTAGTAAAGACACGCATTTATTTATACAAGACATGTATTTATTTATACAAGACACGCATTTATTTATATATATAATATTATTTATATAAAGACACAAAGACACGTATATATATACCTAAGACACGCATTAATATAATAAAGACACACATATTTATATTTATATTTATATTTATTATTTATTATTTATTATA